TGTAATTGCAATTATAGCCCGCTTCCAAAATAAATTGGGCACCCTTGATTTAAACAATGAACTTTTTTATGTAGTACGGAAATTACTGTATGTTTTAAGCTATATTGTTTTACTATTATTTAGTAAATAATTTAAACGTAAACATATTCTAATATACTAAATTCCCATCAGGGGGCTTATATTTTATTATTTCTAGATCGATTGGTCCAGAAATTGGAGCGTCTATTGGAATTCTATTGGCATTAGCTAATACCATTGTAGTTGCATTAAATACAATTGGATTTTGTTTATCATTAAGATCATTATTAGAATCATTCAATATACATATACTGGACTCTAGTTTCGCATTTATACTTACCGGGCTTATAACAATATTTATCCTGGGTTTATTATGTTGTGGTGGTATGGATGATGAAGCTAAAGTTAGTAAAATTTAATTTAATGAACATTTTAGAAATTTAATGTAATGGTAAATATTATTTTTAAAATTATGAATATTTTAGATTCAAGATGTGTTAGTAGTTTTCATTGTTGGTGCAATTTTCGATATTATTATTGGATCATTTATCGGACCAACTTCTGATATTGATATTGCATCAGGCTTCACTGGATTTAGCAGTAAAAATAATTTATAACATAATATTTTATACAATACTTGTTTACATACTATCACATTATTTTTCAGTGAAAACATTAAAAGAGAATTGGTATTCAGATTATAGAATTCAGGACAACAGTCAACAGTCTTTTTTTACTATTTTTGCTATTTTTTTCCCATCTGTCACTGGCATACAAGCCGGTGCGAATATATCGGGAGATCTCAAGGTACGCTTAACTACAGTATAATAATATTCATAATATACCAAAAATACTATTATGTATTATGATACATTTTTAGGACCCAAGTACTTCTATACCAAAGGGAACTCTCTTGTCGATCGCCATTACAATAACTTCATATGTTATATTAGTAATAGTACCTGGTGCTGTTCACTTAAGGGAAGCAAGTGGCTATCCAAATGAACTTCCAAACAATTTTTATTTGAACTGTTCGTTAAGAGTTTGTTCTGAAGGATTATATCACAATGCAAATGTAAAAATAATTATGTGTAATAATTTAACGTTTACTATAACTATATATGTATATACAGGTATATTTACTGGCTTAACGATAAACATTATATTGTGTTAGGGATGTGTAAGAACTCGGTATAGCAAATTGTAAAAATAAAATTTTTAAATACTTTATTCATGCAATTTAAAATAAAAATATCACTGCTGTGTTATGTAATTCTCGAATCCAAATATGTTATGAAATATTTTTTCTTTTTAATGTTTATATAGTTGATGCAGACAATTTCTTTATGGCCATATCTCATATACCTCGGTTGTTTCAGTGCCACGTTAAGCACAGCTTTAACTTCTTTAATTGCTGTTCCTAAAATATTACAAAGAATGGGTCAAGATAATATTTATCCATTTCTTAAGTATTTGGCAAAAGGTTATGGGAAATCAAACGAACCATATCGAGCTCATATTTTGGCTATTTTAACATCATCGATATTCATTTTTATGGGTAGGTATACCAAATAAAATTATTATCCAAGCATTATACATTTAAGAAAAAATAAAATGTTGAACTTATTTTTTCTTTATTTTAATTTAAAGTAGTAGACTCATAATAACTAATTTTAACTTATTATAGCTATATTATTTATACGAATAAGTAAATAATTAAATAACATAATGTTTTTAACTATAAAAATTTAAGTCTTAACACTTTTTTATGTTGGTATTGATACTCATTACTACTATGTATATTGTTTACAGGTGAACTAAACGCGATTGCTTCTTTCATTTCGACTATTTATCTGTGTGCATATGCCTTGTTAAATTTGTGTACATTTCACGTTGCATACTTTAAACCTTTAGGTTGGAGACCCTCTTATAAGGTATTTATTAATCTCTAATTTTCATATAATTAACACAATATTACTAATTAATAATGTGATTATCTAGTTGTATAACCAATGGCTAAGTCTCGCAGGTGCTATTATTTGTTTAACAATAATGATATTAATTGATAAAACAATGTCAATAGTTGTTGGATGCATGATAGGATTTTTATACATGATTGCAGCTAAAAAAAAAGATGGTAGGAAATTGAGCATTATATATCTAAGACAAACTCTGATCAACTAAAACTAATTAATATTATATATATATTATATTTTCACGTATAATCAATATATGAAAAATTAATAAAGACATTAATTGGGGATCCTCAAAACAAATACAACAAATCAAAACTATTATAAATAATATGTACAAAGCCAATACCGTTCAGTATCATGTTAAAAACTATGCACCAAATATTATGGTACTTTCTGGAGATCCTGAATCAAGAAAAGAACTAGTTTCTTTGGCACATTTAATTACTAATAATAATGGTTTACAAATGTGCATCAATGTAAACAAAGTGAGTTTATTTATTTATTTATTTATTATGTACCTATTACCTATTACCTATGTATTTAAGGTTAATATAAAACATTAATAACAGTTTTGAAATTTTCTTGAATTCAATAATTAATATTATATTTATTATATCATAATATGTATAATATGTAATCATTTTAAAATTTAACTATAATAATATTAAATGTATAAAAAGTACTTTGATATATTTTAATATCAATTATGAATAGGTGTAGGTGTGTAGGTGAATGTTAATTAAAATTATATTAAATAATAATCTTTTGTTTAATAAGAGAAAAATTACACTTTATTAATTAATATAATTTTATGGACAAAATTATAACCAGCTGTTGTTAACTGTTCTCGTCGTCGCCGTGTATCAGCTTTTTTGAACCCGCCGAGTTAACCGTCCGCCGCCGCCGGCGACGGCCAACCGGTTCGGTCGCGTCCTCGCGGACGTCGATAAGGGTGCCGTGGTCGTTGTGATAACGACCACGACATAGGTATAATTGAATTAATTGAATTTGAACTTTAAATTAACTCTCTTTTTACAGGAGCCTTTAGTATATGAAGAAAAACAACTCTTAGTGAAGAAAGGAGTACATTGGTTAAAAAAATCTGGGATCAAGTCTTTATATAATGTACTTGATGGAATACATTTAGATATCGGCGTTCGTATGATGTATAGTTGTGGTTATGGTATTCTTAAGCCTAATATTATTCTTGTTGGATATAAAAATAACTGGTTTGATTATGTGGATGAAGACATTCAGACTTATTTAAATACAATAAAGTATAAATTTTTAATATTTTTTATATAATATATATAATAATTTCAAATTTACATTTCTATGTAATAATTTAATTATTGTATTAAAAGTACAGCAAACATTAATGGACTTGCGACAATCATCGTTCGATTTCCGTCGACTAATAAAAGTGATACAACAATTGAAAATTCTGAAAACAGAAAATCGGCTATGAATAAAAAAATGCAGTACAGTGAAAGTGAAAAATTTCACAATAAACCGTTAATCAGTGAAGAGAAAGAAGTTCAATCAGAGTAAATAATATTACACAGTCAGATAGTTTTTTTCATTTAGCATAATATATTGAAATTATTTTAAATAGGGTATTTGATTGCTTTATAAAAATTCAGGAGTCCCAATTTTCATTCGTTAAAAAACGAAATAATGGGACGGTTGATATATGGTGGTTATTCAACAATGGAGGTGTGTTAACTAAGTGAATATAAATTAATTAATATAAATATTTATAGCTTATAATTTGGTTATGTTTTATAGGTTTAGCTTTAATTGTTGCGCATATTTTTAAGTCATGTGACATTTGGAAAAAATGTAAATTTCGAATATTTGGAGTCACATATGATATTGAAAAGTTAAACACTGAAAAAAACAAGTAAATTATATATATATAAACAAATTATTATTAAACTTATTAAAAATATTTAAAATTAGATGACTCCTATTTACTACTAGTTATTAATTGTGACAGTAGATAATGAAATTAATTTAATATTTTTATAAGCTGTCCAAATTAGTGTCCAAATTAAAAAATATTCCAATTATATATTTTGTCTGTGTACTTATAGTCAGGGGCGGCTCCAGAGAGCCTTAGGAGCCGCGGTAAGTGATTGAAAACGGGTTCATGAAAAACAAAATATTATTTTTGTCCTTCTCAAAATCCTGAAATCTGTTCTCAAAAGACTGCAACAATAATTGAATTTGTGTTTGATATTTCGAGATGTCAGGTGAAGTATTTTCTAGTTTTCCTCTTATATCTACAAGCGTAGGAAAATGATCGATATTATTTCTAGTCAAATTTGTCAAAAAAAGGGAGAGTTTCGCTTTAAATCCATAAACCAAATTGAACATTATTGGTAACGAACAGTCCTTTCCTTGCAGCTTCCGGTTAAGTATGTTGAGGTGCTGTGTAATATCTATTAAAAACGCAAGATCGCATAACCATGATTCACTTTCAAGTAAATCTCGCTCATCAGGCATTGCCTGCTTTTCTACTAAAAATTGCAAGACCTCTCTCCGCAAAAGAAAAAAATGTTTCAGCATTTCACCCTTAGATAACCAGCGGACAGCACAATACAAATGTAACTCACCGAATTCATTGATTTCTTCTTCAAATAAAACCCTGAATTGTCTTCGATGAAGAGCTTTGGCTCGGATATAATTAATACAGCGTACTACAGGATCAATAACATCATTAAACTTCATATCTTTGGCACA